ATTTTCGATCCCGTTAATAGATAAAATCGTGCTACTACATCTTTATATATATGTATATTTTACTACTTAAAAGTTTTCGTTTTTCTTTTTCAACAGTATTATACAATTGTCACAACATATACCTTATACACACAATAAAAGTATTTAATAGATAGAGTTTATTTAATAGATTCTAAGAAGAAGTTAATGCAGATAGTCGTAACATGGACACTGTAAATAACGATCAATAATTTATTTGAAAACAGAAAACAAGTGTAAATAGTAAAATCTATACCTAAGAGTGTGTAGAATATTTACAAGTGTGTGTTACGGAAATTGTCTTTTTAATTAATTTAATTTCATACATGTCCTCTTTTAAATTACCGACGATAAGATCGATAAATCTATTACGATCGTTTTGTATTTCTCGTATCAAACCTCTTGCAGGCCTCCTAAGTTTTTGTATGTTAATTTTCTATTTAGTTTCTGCCGATTTCGATGCGATTTTGTCTAGATGAAATTCATCATTCATTAAATCATACATATTACATTTTTCTTAATGACTACCATCGTTTTAAGTGTAATTGAATGGCTTTTTCAAACATGAGTGCGATGTAATTATTTTGCTGTAGTGCAAACATCAATTGCTACTTGAATATTTTTCTATAAAACGCAACTATATTTATATAAATCTATAACATATATTTATAACAACATAAAACAATTATATGATAACTTAATATAAATATATATAATACTTTTTTTATAAAGACATTTTAACTCGCTTTTATCCTGATACAAACATGTCATTAAAACGCTATTATTAAAAAATATTGTCTAAAAAAATCAATAATTCAATCCTAAGAGAATTTCGATTAAAAGTATGATAAAGATTTAAAAAAATTAACAACGCGCTAAAACTTCTATTGGTGATATTTCTCACACATACATATATATCCTTTAATATTATTATTATTATTATATATATAGAATGATATTCTGGATATTTTGAGAAATAAATATTCGCGAGAATAATAGAAAGTTATCTTGTTGTCTCGTAGTTCTTAGATTAATATTTCATTTGTCGTGTATAGATTGGCTACAAAATAGAGATTCTTTGGAGACTCCAGAATAGAACTTCTCTATTCATTATTCTATAACCAATCAATGCTGCAATGTACTGAAAAATTTGTCATACGACAAATGAAATATTAACTACAGTCAATATTTCATTTGTACAACAAATTTTTCAAGCATATTAAATGGCTGCTGGATAAAGGAGTTATTGAGTTTCTATAGAAATCTTCTATTTCGTAGCTAATCAATACGCTTGAAAAATTTGTCACATGACGAATGAAATATTAGCGTTAGCGTGGTCTTACATTCAAAACTATTCAAACTAATATAAATTCGACAGGGTTTTCGAGTTTGGATTACTATTTTCTTCTTAATTATACATACGGGAAGGTAAAAGATAAACTGTCGGGCACAAATAAAAGTAAAACGTACGTGTCGCACAGGGCATCAGGAAACTTTCGATAGGCACTTTCGATTAATTGGATTTAGTCTTACCACTAATTCCCTGATACCCTAGACTCGTGAACATTCGTTTACAAAGTCAGAAGGAAGCAACAAATAATATATATACTGAAAAAAATGAACCGTACAACGGAGTAAGTTAAGGAGGGTAGCGACAAATCATCAGATTTAGCAGATCTATCGAATGGGGCATCAGAAGCGTTGGTTCACTTTTTTTCTTGCTTGTCCACACAGATATTTTATCACATCGTATATCTCGTACATTCCATACAACGGCGGCGTAAAGGCGGACCACACGTACGTCCGTATGCACGCATGCATATTACGTCTCCACGTGCAACACACGCACGTATACATATACATATATATATATATACACATACATACATATATACATATATATATATATATATATATA